ACTTAGTACGAAAAAAAGTTTTCTTTGGACAATCACTAGAAAATTTCTACTTTCGCATCTATAGTAATTTATATATAAAACTGTGTCACGTTTCACTATGATCATTCTTCAGTTGACTGGAGAATCATCAATTAATTTAATTTGTTAAAATAATTCTACATATTGTTGTATTTTCTAGGGATCGGTCTATAGCATCAGCCAATTCAGCTATTGTATCCATATCTAAATTTTGATCAAAATTATAAATATCTAAATAATTTTTATCAGAGTCAGATTCATTTTCATTAAAATTCTATGCTTGCGCATTTTGTAAAGCCTCTCAGGTATTTATAAGTTCTAACTTATCTCGATATTTCAATAATGCTAATGCAAAATTTTGACAAAGAAGGTCTGTAATATGGTTTTTTTGCTGAGTTATTTTGTTAATCCTATTTATTTGATTAGTTCTTACCATATTTATTTCTCGTTTAAGGCATTTATTCTCATCTACTAATCTGGTTATATAATCTTGCACTTTGGGGTATTACCTGCAGATTTTGATATTTCTCGTATTTGGGTTTTTAATTTTGTCTCACGTTTATCAAATTCTGATATTAATTTATCTTTATTGAAAATTTCTCTGTCTTTCTTTTTATTTTCTTCCTCAAGTTGGTAAACAATTCTTTTTAATTTTGAAATCTCTTCTAATAATTCTTCTTTGTTTTGTCTAGAAAGTTCGATAGTATTATTTAACTCTTCTTCAAGATATCATATTCTTTCTTCACGTATACCTATAACTCTTTCTAAGGTATATAGACATTGTTCGAAATTTCTATTTAATTCTGCTAATTGTGATACTACCTCATAGAGTTCTTGGTTAGATTGTTGTAACTCCTTCATGTTTTTTATTACTATAATAAAACAAAGGAATGGAGAAACCCGTAATTTATATTGACCTACAAAAGGCTTGTAATTTGGATAGAGAAATTGCTAAAACTAAAAAAATAGAACAGCCTACAATAAATATTAATTCTCAAAGAGCTTGCGATTTGAATAGTGAGATTGCTTTGCAAAAAATTTATTATAGGCCTGAAGGTTATTATTGGACTGCTGAAAAAATGCAAAATGTGAGTAGAAGGGGTGGATATAATTTTTCATTAGCTGAAATATGTAATTGGTTAAATAAGCAAGCTGTTTTTCAGATTTATAAGCCTTGCCCTAAATTTATTCAATATTCTTCTTTTAATAGAATACAAAATTTAAATAAAGTTCATTAATCCGATACTACACCTATATCCCATAATAAAATTGGCAACCGAATTTACAAGCACAGAGGAGTAATAAAAGATGTAGCAACTAGATTCTGTAAAAGTTATGCTTTAACTAATAAGTCATCAACATTATTAGCTAAAATGTTTATGAAAATTTATGGTGATCCAGATTGCCCTCTTATCTGGCCTAAAGTCTTAATCATCGATAGAAGAACTGAATTTATGGGTGAATATAAGGATTTATTACTTAGTCATGACCATACATGCCACCGAAATAGGTTTTCAAAAAACCCCTATTTCGTCTCCATTAGAGCAATTTAGAATTTTTTATATGCAATAGCAAATCTAATTTCGGTAGTTATGTTCCTTATAATTTCGTCTTTTCAAAAAAAGTATCAAAAAATTTCGTCTTTTAAGTAAAGTAGATCAAAAACAATTTCGTCTTTAAATTTTAATTTCATACCCCGAAACCAAAAATAATTTCATCAGCATGTATAGTCATGACGTAAAAATTCAGTATACTTACTTCAAACATGGTGTAGCTATTGCTGAACACGACCATCAAGAATTTGAAAAGCATGCTTATTTTTAGCAAGATGCTGTAGATTTTCATTTATCTTTATCTGAAAGATGCAGAGTATAGGTTAAGGAACTTCATATAAATGATGATATTTTTAATAATACTCCTACTTGCTTAATCGGAATGCCCCCTAATGAAGTTGTAAAAAGAGCATTAAAAGGAAAAAAAATAATAGCCAGACCTTCAGTAAAGCATTGAAGGCCTATTAGATATAATGAACCACTTTTATCTAGCTATACTGAAGTTCGTCATCTTTTAGAACCTGGTAAATTAGAAGGTTGAAGAAGAAGAGCAACCGATTGTAATTGGTCTCTCAAAGTTTTTACAATCAATTCTTATTTAATAAAAGAAAATCAACCTATTCTCTATAAGCTTTATAATAGTTTTAGATGCTCATTTGTAAAAGAAGAACTCCAAATTGTTCCGCTAGATACAGTGTTACTACCCAAATATATTCTTAAGCATTAAACTTTCCTCCTCTCTCCTCTACTAAATATATTATTTGTTCGAAAGTATTGCTTAAATAGTCATCAATTTCAGCCTGATTGAAAACTATAATTTGTTTATTTCACAACCAATCACTTCTTGAACTTTTTTTGTTTTCATTTCCAGGTTTATCATCTAGAAGAAATTTACCTAGTGAGCATAAAGCAAACTTGAATTGCCTGCACTTATCAAATTCTTTCTCAAGTAAGTCTCTGAATTGCTTTCTTCAGCTTTCTAAAAATTTTCGTATATCACTTCTATTATTAGGGTAAGATCTAAAAACTTTTGCACGATGTACTGCTATAGCCCTTCTTTTAAGTGCTGTGCCTAAATTTTTTTGCTCTCTAAATTCTAGATCTCTTTTTTGTTTATCAGTAATTTCTCCTAAGCGACTAAATTCTTCATTAATCAAATTTTTAGATTTATTATCTTTTCTAAAGAATTGTGTTCTAAGTCCAAAGCTAGCTTCAGGTTCTGACATCTTTTCATATTTATCTAACTCCTCTTTTGTAGGTGGTCTAACTGCGTCTTCGTCATATTGCTCAAGATCATGAAAAAGAGTTTGATAGCTATCTAGATCATTAGGTAGAAAAGGTTCAACACTTAAACCAAGTTCTTTTCATCTTTTTACCAACCTTTTTCCCCATGTTCTAAAATGCTCTCCAGGCTTGCGAGCATTTGGGTTTACTCACCTTTCAGCCTCCTTATTAGAAATATAATCTCTATCAAGAATAGGGATCGGAACTTGCTTTTCTCTTTGATCGTGCCTATTCTCTTCATTATTAGATAATACAGAAGGAATTGGTAATGCTTCGGGAGCTGGCTTTGTAGTTTGATTAGAATCTCAAATAGCTTCCTGATTAATAGTTCAAGGCTTACATAAATTCTTTCTTTTAAGGTGCTCATGAAGTTTATTGGGATTTGCTAAAGTTCTTCTACAACGATCACATGTTGTATTCTTCTTATCACATCTAGTTTTTCTAACTATGATATTAGCTCTTATTGTCATGCTATTACTTACTTATATAATTTTTCTTTAATTAATTATTTCCTATACATTTTACTTTTAGATTATAGAGTTATTGCTAAAGTGCTATTTATCAAAGTGCTCTAGCTATTGCAAAAAACTGAAACATTAACTATTTATTAATTAATCTTTCGAAATTTAGTGTTAAAAAAATAGGATGATCAGTGAATATTCCTGCCCATTTTTTTGCAATATCGGAAAGGTTTGTGGAAGAGCTTGTATTAGGTCTGAAAGATGCTGATTTCATTAGAAATCAAAAATTCGGATACCGTGTTCTGATTGCGGAAAGCTAATTGCTTTTGCTTGTAGCCAATGCCCATTACATATTAGGGGCTATTATATTATCCAATACTATGATAGACTTCGATCAGAGACACGGGAAAGAACTTATGAGGAAATAATAGTTAGGCTTGCAAATCTTAATATCACTCTTTGCAAGGAATGCCTCTATCTAATAAAACTAGAAGAGGGAGAATATTGTGTTAAATGTCAGCCAGAATATACAAGTTCAATAAATACATAAAGAATACATAACGGGATCCTTTTATCATCCTGATATCTATCCTTTATGTATTTACTCTCAACCTGGTTTGCTACAGTTTTTTGGCGGATGTATAGTAACATAAAGGATAAATATTAGTACAATATATAAGATAAATATAAGATAAATAAAGGGTATCTTTTAGTATCCCGATATTGATCCTTTATATAATAATTATATAGGGGCATGGCGACTTAGTGAAGTGGTCAAGGTGTCGCCCCCCAAGTGGTACATCCAGAGTTCAATTCCCACCAATGCCGAAAAATCGAATTCTTCTGTGCATTGATGACTATTTCGAGTATTGAGATGGAGATCCTGTAACGACGGTCAGACCAAATAGGTACAAGGAGTAATGATTGCCTAATGGACAGCTTATCTTGTAAGCTCTAATCGGGAGTAGTAGTACAGACTTAGAAGATCTTGGGGCATTCATGTAATAGAGAAGTTACACGAAGGGATACAAACCGATAAAAGGCGGTGTAAACCTATGATAAGTCTCTGGGACCTGTGTAAATCCATTGGACTTTGTCCCAAATAGGAATCCACTTGGCAAGTCCCGAGTAGAGAGGTAACACTACTTTTGACAGTTCTGGAAAGTCTGAGAAGAGAGCCAATAAGCTGTGGATCTGGATGAGGACCAGGTGTTTGACGAGCACTATACCAACCAGACCGCCGGAATCGATCAGAAGAAAAGGGCACAGGCCGGTATCTGGGTTAAGCCAGTAGGAAAGTGGGTAACGTAACTTGTGGACCAAACCGGGCTATCTGAATTGGAAGTTTGGTAAAACAGTAAAAGGGTTTCTGATTGGATAAGTAAGGGGCTAGGGTAGAGTGAACTCTATAAGGGCAGAAATAGGTAACGGTAGTGGCTTCGGCTCGCAAGTACTTGTTCTCGGACTAGGCGTAAGTTACCGAAGCCTAGGTCAGCCTAAATGTGGGTATGGAAGGCTCTAGCAGGTTTATCTCGAGGTTAAATGACTCCCTAAAATGGTAAAGTCTGCTTTAAAGCCCTAAGCCAGCATGTAAAAATAAGGTGGTACTAAGTATCATCGCTTGGATATAAAAAGGTTGGTACACAGGTGCAGAGGGTTTAAATTAGTGGGGTGCAGATACGGCATCTAGTGTAGAACCTGATGATAGGCCGACTACTTAAATAGGCACTCAAAAGGCGCAGATATGGCTAGTTGTACCCAACAAATATGTACAGCCGTCAGGATATGTCTGACGGTTAAAAATACTACTAATATTCGAATAAAGAGCAGCGTGGCAAAGAGGTCACCTTAAAATCATAAAAAAAAAAATAAAAATATAATAATTATATATCTGTTATACTGCTTATATTGGTGTATATAAAACAAATATCAGCTAAATAAAAGTACCTTTTTACGTCCTGATATCAATCCTTTATATTTCCACTTTTAATTTGGTTTGCTACAGTTTTTTGCGGATGTATGATAACATAAAGGATGAATACCGGTAAAATAAAAGATAAATATAAGATAAATAAAGGATATATATTAATATCCCGATATCAATACTTTATGTATTCAAAATCAACTCTTTCCGACGATCATTTGGTTAACAAAAAACAAGAAACTGAACTACAGTCAGCACTATAGAAGACGCTTAAGTAAATAATAAACTTGGTCTTACAGAAGTAGGTGTGTTGTCGATGAAGTACCAAGAGTGTAAAACTGAGGTGCGGTCTACTTTGGACTGGTTTTTGTAGAGGTCAAGCTCTTCTTCTGGCAGACTCCTCTATTATATTCAGCATCCAAACCAAAAGGATATTTTGGAAACACAGAACATCTAGGACAACACTAAGAGTATTACAAGCTTAGGGTATATCTATATAACCGTAAAACTTACAAGGAACAACCACAGAAAAGTTTCGTTGGCCCACCACTTTTTTCGAGGAAATTTTGTCAAAAAGTATGCATTTTAGCTTACCCCTTCCAAAAGATCAATACGTAATTTTTCAAAACAAGTCGATATTGTTTATCTGTCTAAAAATGAATAGGACTTCTATAACGAGATATCGAGCAGACATCTGGATTAAGCAACCGTATACAGACTATGTGACAACACAAATGGTATACGTGCCTCGACCGGAAAAACCGTTGGACAATACTTCAAGACTTTTATATTTCGGGCTACTCTGTTTTATTTAGCTGTCTTTTTTTTTATGTTTTTTTTTTTATATACATATATTATTAGAATAGAGTTAGATACAGAGCTTCTTTATCTATTAATATGTAATTTTTAAGGCTCAACACAGGCCTATAACTGTGACCTATCAGATTCTCTTATCTTTTTCTTCTCCCTTTCGTCTTTGTATTTGTTTTTTAGTTTTAGTTTCTATTTTTTTTTTTAGTATCACCTCTTTAGTATTAGTATTAGTGTTAGTAAAAAAAATTTTTTTTTTCTTTCCACTTCCCTACGAGAAGATATCATCAGATTGGCGATATCTTATTGTAGGGCGGTGGTCTGATAGTGTTCGTCTGAGAGAGATATTGTTTCTATTTTAAAACTTATCGTGATATATTCATAGAGATGTATCTACTCAGTGCGGCCGATCGCTTGTAAGTGCTCTCAAAGTAACTGCAGGATGCCACTTCTAAATATTATGCTAAGGCCTTTTGTAATACCATACAATCGTAAAGTAATAAAGGAGACTATAGGCAAGATGGTCTAAGTGGAAAAAAAAAAAAAAACTTTATATATTTATAACATCCCGATATTCATCTTTATATAATCCATTTTAAATAGAATATCGGAGTTATTAAAGATAAATATCGGGATAATAAAAGATAAATGTCAGGATAATAAAATATGAATATCAGGGTTATTAAAGATGAATAACGAAATAATTAAAAATGAATAATAGGATAATTAAAAATAAATAACCGGATAATGTAAAATAAATATTAGAAGAATATCAGGATAATCAAAAATGAATATCGGGATATTATAAGAAGCTAATATTTTATTTTTTATATCCTGTTATATTACCATTTTTTGGTGAATATGTATACTCTATACAAAAAAATTACACTTTTTATTTACTGCACTTGCTTTTTTATAAATACACGATTTTAATAAAATATATTATTTTTATTATTTATTATGCAAAATATTATACATTTATATATTATAATTAAACATATAAAAAACAATTTTTTAATTTTTTGCTTTTTTGCTAGTTCTAGAATCACCTTTATAATATGGATGACCTCTACTATAACATAGTCTAGCAGACCTAGAGATATGACTATCGAGATCATATGTGGATTCTAAATTGTAAAATAAATAAATAAATAATAAGCATCAATATAAAAGATTAAAATAAATCAAATGTTAGTAATATGAAAATATCATTGATACAATATAATTAATACCTTGTGAATTGTCATAAAATTCTATATTTTTGTATAAAGTATCAAATAAATGAAAAATTTTATTAACATAATAATTCATATACTAGTTATAATAACAAATATATTAAATATTTACCTTTACTAATGGCTTTGCCCTTATTGGCATTATCAGCATTATTATTAGTGACCACTGCTTCACGATTTATAGCAAAAAAAAAAAATCAGATTGTTCCAGTTACTACAAGAAATGGTTATTAAAATTTATAGTAAATGCATTACCAGATCTTGATCCAGAAGCAGCGGTATTTCCAGATTTTTTTTTGGGAGAAGGAGAATTACCAGAGCTAGATGCAGCAGCGGTATTATTAAATTTTTTGAGAGGCAGGAGAATTACCAAATGATTACAGATCGAATACATGACTATCAGGATATGCCTATATAATCCTATTAGTATACTGATATACATATCGGGATAATATAGAAAGAATAATATCGGTAAAATAACAGATATCAGTATTAAAGCAATATAAAGAATAGATATCGGATATAAAATAATATACTTTTTGTTTACTAATATTATTCTGATATATATATATCAGGATATTATAGAAGGGATAATAATGGTAAACTAACAGAAGCTAGTATCAAAGCAAGATATAGGCATATAATATAGTATATAATGATATATAGTTTTCCTTCTTTTATTATCCCGATATTCAACTTACACGTTTGTAGTATCAAAGCAAGATATAGATATATAACAGGACATATAATGATATATAGTTTTTCTTTCTTTTATTATCCCAATATTCAACTTACACATTAATAGTATTATAACAAGATATAAATATATAACAGGACATATAACAATATATAGTTTTTCTTTCTTTTATTATCCAGATATTCAACCTACATATTAGTAGTATCAAAGCAAGATATAGACATATAACATGGCATATAA